TTATTATTATCATTATCACTATTATTATCACTGCTACAGTTATTATTACGGAATGAAGACAACAAAAGTCTCCACCTCTGAAACCTTCTGTTCAGCTTTATTCATCTCCACTTGGTGCTTTTCGAGTGTTCGTTCCTCTCGTTCACAAATCTTAAAATTGACAAATCAAAGAATTACCCACTTTCTCACCACTCAAAACAAAACAAACAAGCCAATCACCACTCACTATGAATATTTCCCTTTGCTGTAGCGATTCAATTCTCTTCTGCATGCCCTCCTTCCTCAAGAAATTTTCCACACGACTGCTCAACGCCTTTAATTCTTTCTCTATTGATTTCAAGTTCTTTTCACAACTGAAATTATTTCAAAACTATTACTGATATAATTATACAGTTATTGTATAGTAGCGATAAATTTATAAATGAATTAATTCACTCACTCTTCTTTTCGCTTTCCGCGACCGATATCGTGTTCGGAGAGATTCTTTAGTTCATCGTGCGTTTCTTGTAGTTCAATCGAACACGCCTTTAAAAGTTTATTATTATTATTATTATTATTATTATTNTAAAGTCACCAAATATCAACACCTCAACTGACCTTTTCCGTATTTTCCAGTAGAGCGACTGGATTTTGCTCTGCGAAACTTTTCACTTTATCTTGCGCCAAGAACACGCATGGATTGTCCACCTTAATCATAATTCTTCACTGCATCAACATTTCACGTTGCTTTCACATCAAAAACACTATTGCTTATGCAATTATGAAATGACTAAAAATCTAAAGATGATAATTAAACTGATCTAAAGATGAGATCAATGAACACCTGTATGTTGTAGGATGAAACGAGACGTATCAGCTCGGATTTGTTCACTTGTTGATCATTAATAAAGAAATTGTGTTTGTTATTCGAATGGATCACGAGTCGTATTATCACCACTTCATCGTTTTCACCCGTCTTCCTTAAATTTCATTCATTCATTCAGTCAATTCAAACCCAAATCTCAATCCAGCATTCATTTCTGAAGTATTCATCAGCTTGTATCAAGTATCTATTGTCATACAATGATGTTTTCTTTCTACTGACAGTACCTTTGGCAAATACCTATTCAATTGCTAATCCAATAAACATACTTTTTGCACATGCCAATTCAATTTTCAATCCAATTAGCTTATTTCTTTCATATGCCAATTCAATTCTGAATCTAATAGATATTTTCAAAGAATAAACCCACATGTGCACTTCCACAGAAGCGGTCCTCTCATCATGCTTTACGTAATCGGCCATTTTCTCAGATCTGCCAAGCAATTTAGGATTACCCCCAAGCGCCAGGCATATTCCACAAATGATCGTGCTCTTCCCTAAAAACAATCTGATCGATGCCCAATTGAAATTTGTATTGATAGTGAGCAGAACTAATACTATGTTTATGTTTTATCCATTCTTCTCAAAATCACTCAAATTATAACTGTTGAAGAAATTTCCACTTCTTACCCATTCCGTTTGGAGCAATAATGAGATTGAGGTTCGGTTCGACATCACACTCAAGATAGGAACACGACCTGAAGGATCAGATCGAAATCAATTGTGAATATGACAGCACTGCATCGNGGTTCAGAGGATAATATGATGATGGCATTGCATCGAAGAATGTGTGATGCAGATTATGCAGACAACATTATGCAGACAATTTCTATCATATTGCTTGAGAGGATTTTGCATTTTTCATCTATGAAATATTAATTTTGTTTGTAAAAAAGGAAGATCTACGAATTGCAATGTACAACTAACATAAAGTTTCGAAATTTCAATTTCTTTATTGAACCCTTCACTTGACCGCTGTTCAACAGTTCATTGCGTTCACGTGCCATCCGAACACGAACAATGACTATCAAATGCACAAATCAACTGGCAATAGATACGAAACCCTCTGGAACACA